CTCGGTAAATTTTCGCTTTCTGGGATTCCCCCGGCTCCGCGTGGCGTTCCTCAAATCGAGGTCGTTTTTGATATCGATGTCAATGGTGTCCTTCGTGTAAATGCCTATGACCTTGCATCTGCAAACAAAGACAAGTCGTCCGGAATTACAATTACCAACGACAAGGGTCGTCTCAGTCCAGAAGACATCGAGCGTATGGTTGCCGAGGCCGAAAAGTATGCCGAAGCCGATCGGATGACTCAGGCCAAGATCGAGGCTCGCAACAGTCTTGAGGCTTATGTTTACAATGTCAAGAACCAAGTCGGCGATGCAAATGGCCTCGGAGGCAGCATCTCTGATGAGGATAAGACAGCAATTGTTTCCATCGTAGAGTCCACGATTTCTTGGTTGGATCGCAATCCATCCGCAGAAAAACAAGAGTATGACGAAAAGCGCGAGGAAGTTGAGAAGGTCGTTCATCCCATCACATCCAAGATGTATGGAAAAAATGCAGGCACAGCAGATGACGCTCAGTCCGGTTCTGGAGCCGGCTTCAAGAGTGGCAAGAAATTTGGACAGGATGACGATTCCTATGAGCACGATGATTTATAAACGGCTTGTGATCAATAAATATTTTATTGTCCCAGTTAGCGAAATGGCCCGGCTTACCCGTTCACACCGCGATGCGCTCGCTAAGTGTGCCGGGGTTTGGTTTATTCTACTTGGTGCCAATATTTTTGATAGTTTATTTTTGCGACGGACTTTGTTTGAAAAGGTCTTCCAGCGATTTTTTCGCTGCTTCGGAGAGGGTTATACCAAAAGCTGTTTTAGAAGCAAAATAGAGCCCAATCATAACATATGCCCAGGTTGCTGAAAAGCCGAGAATCCAACAGAACACCACTAGTGATAGGATTACGGTTACGAAGACCAATACAACGTATGGCACTAATCCTCTGATGGAATCAACAAGTGGAATGTAATTCAGCAAAAGCATCTTTAATGCATTCGAAACAAGTAGTACGATATATGCGATGATTGAAATACCAGCGTTACCAAAAGCAGCAAGCGAAAAACCTTCCATTTTAAAAAAATAACTTTGCATCTTGAACAATTTATCAACGATTAGCCAATAGCCGTTCGAGGTAAATTAATCGAATTGGTTGATGTAAATTAGCAATATTGATTGGCGTAAATATCGATTTACTTTCAGACCAATAAGGACATCTAGATGCCAATCTGTATTTGTATATTAAGGCTGTACACAATTGGCAAGTTTAAACATTTATGATTGCTTTGGTTTTTGATCTCGGAGGCGGTACTTTCGACGTGTCTTTGCTCACCATTGATGAGGGTGTTTTTGAGGTTCTCGCCATTGCTGGTGATCCACATCTTGGAGGTGAAGACTTTGACAACAATCTGCTCAAGCATTTTCTCAAGATTGCTTCTCAGCGCTTCAAAGCCGACTTTACAGACAACATGGTTATCGTTTCAAAACTCAAGCGCGAAGTGGAGAAGGTCAAGAAAATTTTATCCTACGAAGAATCGGCTACCCTTACAATTGAAAACTTTTACAAGGGAGAAGACTTTAGTGAGAAAATCACCCGTGCTCGCTTTGAAGATCTAAATCGCGATCTCTTCATGAAGACTTTAAAGCCGGTTGCCCAAGTTTTGGAAGACGCAAAGGTATCCAAAAGCAATGTTGATGAGGTTGTGTTGGTCGGTGGCTCAACTCGAATTCCTTTTGTACAAAAGATTCTGCAAGACTTTTTCAACGGAAAGAAGCTCAAAAAAGACATCAATCCGGACGAAGCTATTGCTTATGGTGCTGCCGTCCAAGCCGCAATTATTTCGGGAAAAGACAAGTCTAGTGGTATCGTTTTGCTTGACGTTTGCCCTCCTTCTCTTAGCATTGAAACGACCGGTGGTGTTATGACTACGCTGATAAAAAGAAACACAGCCATCCCCAGCAA